GACTTCGGGAAAAATACCCAGTCAAGCTGCTTAATGTGTTTGAGGGATTGATTTGAATTCTCTTCAGTGAAGCAGCCAGCCCTAAATAAGTGCTATTTCAGCTGTCCTAGTATATGCAGGCTCGTTAGGGACTGGTGGCTTCTCCTAACTAGTATTTGAATCCCTTGACTTTTCTGGTGATACTGCTGCCAGGGTAACATTCCTTGTTCTGTGATCTTGGAACAGACCTGTGAGCATCCTTCTTGGTGCTTCTGTAGTTTAGGTTTGTACATGGATTCTGATTCCATTTCTCTAAAGTTTAGTATGTCTTTGATTTCTTCGTAATTAAAATGTCCTGGCCCAAAGTCCTGCTCAATGGGTAGTCCTAAGCAAGGAGCCCATCCCTCTCGAGTTTCTATTCTATTAGCAGAGGGATATGTATATTCCATACCCTTAAGTGGGGAATTCAGCTCACCTGGGGTCTGAATTATGCTCTGGACATAGAATCATAGAATCGTATGTCTAAATTACATATTTTACAGGAACAACCAGGCTGTGCTATCATAGATAAGCTTACTAACTCAGGCAGATCAGCTATCTGGTGTTAAAGGGGAGGAATTCAGAACTCTGGTATCCTACTTCTTAGATTTATTCCATGTCAGTTGCGTAGTGAAATTTTCTCAAGATCCATTTTTCTCTTTCTGGGCTAGCTCTGTGCTTTTATTCTTCTACTCATGCTAGTCTAACTAATGGATCTTTTTTTTTTTTTTTTCTCTTTTTTTCTTTTTTTTGTCTGCTTTAACAAAATTCTTATATTCTTACATGTACAGCATCAAAAGCAAAAAAGGCATCACAGTCTTCTGGGAAAATAACTGTTAAAGCAAAAGAGAAGAGCTACTCCAAACTTGAAATACCGTATCAAGCAGAAGTGTTGGATGGGTAAGCTTACAGTAATTGAGCATAGTTCAAAAACTAAATGCTGTATATTAGCAGATGTAGCAGGGAATCTAGCCATTTCAGGGGGAGAGAAGATATAAAGAAGTAATACCCAAGTTTACTCAATCTGGAGCTCATTTAGAAGAACAATTACTTGTTTGAATTTTTCAGGTTTTATGCTAGAAGATGAGGTGGTTTTAGTAATGCATAAGATAGTTTCACGGCTTGGGTTCAAAGTGACTTTAGTGAGTTGTTTTTTCAGAGCAGTTTAGGTCTGCAGATGAGACATTTTAAAGATGCCATGTTGGAAATCTTTCCAGTTTTGCATTTGCTGTTCTATCACTATATGAAATAAGGGTAGAGAAAATATTTTTTAAGCAAAGAAGAATTGTCAGGACTTCCTTATTTTTGATATTTATTTACAAATATGGCTAAGTTGACTTCTAAAATATTGTTGAAATGCAGTGTGCTACTTTATCAGCAGAACTGACAGAGTATTTTAAAGGCAAACAAACTAAACCTTACCTGTTAGAATTTTCATGTTGCAGATGCTTGATTTGGTTAATAAGAAATACGCATGATTTGCAAACTATCTTAATACTTACACACTTCTTTTTAATCCTCTTTGTATGCTGATTTAAGTATTTTCTTGTTTGAATTAGTGAATGATCAATATACTCTTAGTGCTAATAATACAGTTTCAGCATGCAGTGGGATGTGTACCTTTTTTGCTGTTGTATTGAACGAATTCTAGTCTTTTGTGCAAGGAAAACACTCTGTGTTTGAGGAAAGCCTTCATTTTTCTCATACTGTTGTTGTTTTTTTTTTTTTTTTAAATAGATATTTAGGATTTGATCATGCTGCCACACTGTTTCACATCCGTGACAGTGCTGCTGATTCTGTGGAAAGACTGATCTATCTAACAAACACATTCAGTTTTGCAGTCCTTATACATGATGTTGTGCTACCAGAAGAAGCAAAACCAATGTTTAAAGTAAGCCCCATTTCAGTGACCATTTTTTAACCTAATAGTAAATATTTAAATGTGCTGCATTTTGTTAAATTGTAACATTGATCTTCGTTGTTCACTGATCTAGGTCCAGAACTTCAGTAAACCAGTCTTAATTCCGCCTAATGAATCCAGATATATTTTTACACTTCATTTTATGCCTTCCACATCATCTGTTCATATAGATAATAATATTTTACTTATCACCAATGCTTCTAAATTTCACCTACCTGTCAGAGCATACACAGGATTTTTAGATGTAAGTATTTTCACTTTTTTTGTTCGTTAGGTATTTTAGTCTAATTAGAGGCAGACTTCATTGGACTGGTTCCAATTCTTTTTTTTATCTTTATGGGAGGATGGGGTTTTTCATTTCAAAATGATTTTACCAGTTCTTTCCTTAAACAGCTTTGGTTACTGCTGAAAAGTTCTTCTTTTGTTCCCTTTAGTTTTACATACAAAATGTATAAAATTTTGAGATTGTCACAGTACTGCTGTATTAGATTTCTTAATGCATTTGTTAATGAGCTTAGAGTTTGAGCACATTTTTTATTTGGCTTATGCTAAAATTCCTTTATCACTTTTTCTAGTACTTTGTACTGCCTCCAAAAACTGAGGAACGGTTTATAGATTTTGGCATATTGAGTGCAACAGAAGCTACCAGCATTTTATTTGCAGTCATCAACAGCAATCCAATAGAGGTAAGGATGGATTTATTTTTACTTTGCCTTTTAAAAAATTTACGTCAGTGTTGTTACTGAAAACACTCCCTTTTGTTCTTTTTAAGCTGGCTATAAAAAGTTGGCATATTATAGGGGATGGTTTGGCCATAGAACTTCTAACCACTGAAAAGGGAAACAGAACAACAATAATTGCAAACCACCATGAGCTACAGAATGCTAGTGCATCCGATCAGTCTTCAGTAAGTAATCCTTTGAATCATTGCGTAAAGCCAGATTTAGGAGGGGGGGAAATAAACACAAATCTGTGCAACTTCTTGCAGCTTTGTTTTATCGGGGGGAGGGAGGATAAGAATTCTTAATTTTTGTCTGAATTCGATTATGATAAAGCATATAGAATTTTAATGATTTATATTTAGGAAGCAGTATTATGTTCAGATTGGTCAGATTTTGAAAGGGGAAGCCTCAGAAACAGTAACTTTCATACCCTTGGGTGATGCTCATCATTTGTCTGGGAGGAGTGGAATTTATCACCTCAAGGAATAAATAATTCCTGTGCTAGTATCTTATATGTTTGAATTTTTTTACCACTGACAGTTGTTTCAGTTGGATTTTGATTCACTTAAATAAGAGGATGTTGGGTGTGTTTTTTAGTGAATTTTCTTTCCATTTAATGGAATACTCTTTTTTTCTACCATTTACAGGTGATACTAGCATCGGGTTATTATGCTGTGTTTAGAGTAAAACTAATAGCAAAAGAACTTGAAGGAATTCATGATGGAGCTGTACAAATCACGACAGATTATGAGGTAAATCGGTTGTATATTCATGAGTGTTGTATATTCATGTATGATATGTTCAGTTTTTAAGTGTGAAGCCTTAAGAGTTGTATTAGTGGGCAAATGGCAATATAGAAAGAAGTTTAGGTTGAAAGGGACCTCTGGAGATCAAGTTATCTCTGCAAGTTAACCCTGCATCAAACAACAGTAATGCTACTTATACTGTGTCTTCTCTGAAGGAATAAAGAATGATATTCATTATGATTTTCATCTGGCTTTCAGAAATACCCATTTAAATCTGACCCAATGTTTAGAGGCATGGGTTCGTCAATGACTTGACACATGCTCAAAGCATCAATGCATGGATCTTTTGGCATAACACATGCTGACAATGTACTTTTGGGTACGTTATCATTTACTGAAATTGAGGTATAATTTCAAAGGGGTTTTTTTTTGTTAAAACCCAATGTGAAAGTTGTTTTGGAGAAATTGTAGTTTACTGACAGTTGATGAAACAGAGTCCTTACACTAAGATTAATAAGGGAGAGAAGAAAAACCAGTTAATTCTCAACTTTTTATGCCTTCCCTGTTAATAAATTATTTTGCAGAAGAGAGGGATTCTAATACATAATGGAATCTGTATTTAATATTTTTGGGTGATACACGTAGGAAAAAGTGACACTGTTTATGAAGTCAGAAAACTGCATAACTTACTGTGTGGTTCTGACAAAGCTACGAAAAAGGAGAAATTCCTAATTCCTGCTAGTTTGCTGAGATTTTTAAGCTTTTTTTAAAAGATATGTTCATACAGGTATGTGACCCTTCAGTTGCAGAATCTGTATAAGCTATATTTATATAGCTTTATATATACATATACACACACACTTATGATATATAAATACAGCTTTAATAATACACAGAAAGGATCTCATTGCCATCCTGTTCACACTCCTTTTTCTAAGTCTACATCTATTTCGAGGTCTTACCATGACTGCTTATATTGTCTTCTTCCCTCATACCCATTTACTTTGAAGATGTTATCCTCCTGTTTTCCATCAAAGTAAGGCCCATTCAAGTGAGACCTATTTAATGCCCCACTGGAGAGCTTATATTTTAACCATGCTTTTGTTTTACGTATAGAATGGTGCTAAGTATGACTGAGCAAAGGTGTGCTTCCTGGCAATATGGAGTGACTGTTCTGAATATGATGATGTATTGAAATCTAAATTCATGTCTTCATGTTCTAAATGGGTATATAAACCTAGACTATTGTAGCATTTCAGGGGTTTGTTATTCTATGCCATTTAAAAGTGGAAGAGATGATTAAAGGCTGAAATTTAAGTACTTTTTTCTCAAAACTTTTTTCTTCTTTTTTTTCCCCAGATTTTAACCATACCAGTGAAGGCAGTGATTGCTGTAGGCTCGCTGACCTGCTCCCCAAGACATGTTTTTCTTCCCCCTTCTTTTCCGGTAAGAGGCTTGGGTCATAGCATTTGATGTTTTCTTGCTTTGTTCTTATTTATCTGTTCTCTTCAAGAGAAACCACTGTCTTGAGTTGTTTGATGTCAAATTGCTGGAATGATTGCGCTACTGAACTGTTATGGTTCAGTTTGTCACTAGTTTTTGGTTGGGTTTTGGTGCTGGTTTTTTTTCCCCTCACATGATTTATCCCTGCATCCTCTCTACTGTGAACTTGAGTGGGATCTTGGAGTACCGGTATGATCCCAAACCTGATTTCTTTGCAGCTTCATTCTGACATAGCTGTGGTTACAGCTATGTGGATTAGTTATTACAAATCCATGTTCTTTAACACCAAGAGTAGGAGAGAGATGAAATTGCACAAATGTGTTTTTCAGATTCAGGTATAATACCAAAGACAACCAAGTCAGTTAATTAAGTGATGGTTTAGTATAAGAAGTCCTTGATCTCTGTGGAAGTATTACTGTAGTGCTTCCAGTCTGAAAGTAGATCTCTTGAGGGTGCATGGTAAAGTACATGAACAAGAAATCAAGCAAGCCATGTGGGTCTGCAGCTCTCTGCCAAAGTATGTAATGATTATTTTCATGCCTGCTCCTGCAGTAGTGTTTATTCAGTGAGTGCTGAAAGCAGCTGCTTTGCTCAGGGCTACAGGCGCAGGCAGTAAGCTATTAACCAGATAATACTTGTTCTCACTTAGCATTCAGCATAACCACAGAAGCATAGGCAGTCAAGGCATATTGACTTTGCAGTTGGTATTTCATTGAAGTCTGAACTTTGTGACTTTCTGATTAGTGGGGAATGTAGTATGATGGAAAATCATAGGGAAAATCATAGGAAAATCAACAGATTGAAAACTAGGGGGAGGGGAGAAAGTAGCAAAAGGAGATAGAGATGGCAGTTTTCTGAAAGGATAAAACCAACTCCATGTATGTTGGTGGAAATGGTTTTTGGTTTTTGTCTGTCCTGCTTAGGCTCAATCTGTTGTAGAGCATCCCCTGTCCTTATCTTCTCTTCCAGTAGCTCTTTAGTATTTCCTGCTTATCTTAAAGTTTGTGCACTCTCAAATAGTAATTTTTTACTAGCACTTTACCAAATGCTTTACCTCATGTCTAGTAGACAAATGGTAAGTTTTTACAAAGTAATGCAGTAGTCTCGTCGGAGGAGGATAGGTCAGACAGCAGGACTTCAGTAAGTCATTGCTACATTTGCCCCATTATCTCCCTTCTGTGCTCCCCCTTCTCAAATTGTTCTGAAGTCTTTTGCTACTCTTGAGGTCAAATGGTCATGCCCACAGTTGCAAAGATCGCTTGTTCTTTTTTATCCTGAGGATCTGTGTTTTTTGCTTGACTATATGGCCTCACCATTATATGGATATTTATTGCACTGACTGCTGTATTCTGTAACCTCATCTATGAGCTGCGTGGTAAGCCTTTGATAAACTGAAATAACTTACAGGTCTGTTTCCCTTTCTTTCACTAAAGAGAGGGCGATTTCTATGTTCTGTATCCTAATTTATATGTACCAGTTCCTGGCAAGATCGTTTTCCCTCTTGCATGCCCCATGAAAAGACTCTGTTCCATTTTGGGCCACAAAGAAGTAATTTTTTTAAAATCTTGCTTGATGTTTTTCTAACTGGAATGGCTGAAGAGCTCCTTGATGTGTCTTAGTGTATGCCCAAGGTCTTGCTCAGCTTGATTATCTTTTTTTCTTTTGTTTTGTTTTGGCAGGTACTACTTCTTGTAGCACCTGTTGCTCAGCCCCTAAGAGACAGCTGTCATCATTCTTTCTCATCCCCAGACTGCTGTGGTTTTTACTGTTCATGCTCTTTTCTAGTAATGTTTGCATGTTATTATCCATTCAGCGGACCTTTGGCTTCCAGCATTTTGCTCAGGGGTATAGAATCAGATGTAATGATCACCTTTGACAAGGTTCTAGACTGTTTTATTTGTTCAAGCCCCAAGCTTTTCCGAGCAGTCAGCTTTACTTACTAGTTACTGGCTCTTCTGGTATTTGAGAACATTGACAGCAGTCTTCTTTTTTCTTGGATTCATTTAAAGCTAAACTTGTGATCACTGAATTTATGATACTCTTACATCTAGTTGTTCTGTAATGCCTCCGTTACTTAGGAAAATAAGCCTAAAATAACATCAGTTCTTCTTGTTTCAGTGTCGGTAGAGGCATTTGACAGCTGTAAGGTCCAGGAATAACTAGGCACTACAATTTTAGTAACACTTGATTTCAGTTCGTACCTAGGATGTATTCCTCTTGCAGCTGCCCAGTTCCCACTGCTGTCTTTGTTTTTAGTGTATTTGCACCTAAGTGTGATTTCTGGTGTTGTGTCAAAGTTTGTCAGCAATACACTGACAGTGCATACAGGCCTTGTAAAGATCAGTGTCTTGGTTTAAACAGATCTTAACTGCACTGACTTGTGCTTTATAATGGCATTTTTAGTTCACAGTGCTACCTCTCAACTCTTCCCTCATCAAAGCTCATCTTTGAGGACCTATATGTTAAGTAGCTTTGTTCTGTTTTTCTTATTACTGAGGGGTAAAGTCTTCTTCACTTATCTGTTGTTTCATGTCTGAATGCTGCTTAAGGGTCTTAGTAAAATACTGTTCATTTATTCTACAGAGCTTAACAAACCTTTATCTTGCCCAGTTGATGGTAGTTTGTTACTCATAGGATTCCATAGGTGAAGCTAAGGTATGTTGAGACTGTTACAATATGTGACTATTTCCTGAGGCTACAGACAAATCATGAGTCTGCAAAAGTGCATCTCTTCCATCTCTCCACTTCAGTCCTGACCTTAGAGAAATTTCTAAAAAGCGAAAAGTATTGATTTAAGGGGAGCATGAGAAACTCTAGTCATGTTTGTTAGAACATAGTCTTGAGTAGTTAAATTTGCTTGTATTCCTTTAGTTCATATAAATCTGAAATCTTGTCAGTGGCCCCGAGTTGTGCATTTTTATTGTTTGGTTTGGTTTTTATTTATTGTTTACTCTCTACTTGTCAGGGTTGGGTTTTGAGATAAGGTAAAAAACATGGCCAAAGAATCATTGATTTACAAGTGAGGGCAGGGGGAGAGCTTGAGCATCGTAATGATCCTGATCATGACAAACAATTAAACTCCATGTTCTATGGGAGTGAGAAGGAGGGTTGTACCTGTGTTCTTAAATGCCCTCTGTCACTTGCAGTGTTTGTAACCTGTAGCTTCACTACTGTTCCTTTCAGATTTTTTCTAGTTACTAGTAACTACATACTGGATGTCTTACAAGAAGCTTGTTTCCCTTTTGTAATAGGAGGTTCAGAAAATAGAAGTTTTCTTTTGCCATTCCTCCTCTGCTATTTTTTTAACATGATTTGATTAAGGAGAACTCTTGTCGTAGCTCTTCAAGACACTTAAGGTGTACTTAATTTTGAAAGAGGGTTGAACTGTGTTTGGAAGCAGATGGAGGAGAGACTACAACTTGACAGAAACCTTGAAGTGTTACAAGTGGCAGTTTTTATTTTTTTAAGAAAGCATAATTAAATATGTCAATTTAACATTTCAGCTCTGCTGTTGTCTTTGCCAGCCTGCATAAGTGAATACACATGTATATCCTGCAGACTTTTTTCATCCTTTCTTTTCTTTAGGGGAAAGTGGTTCACCAGAGCCTGAACATTATGAACTCCTTTTCTCAGAAAGTGAAAATACAACACATCCGCTCCCTGACAGAAGATGTAAGGTTTTATTATAAGAGGCTAAGAAGTAATAAAGAAGATTTAGAGCCAGGAAAAAAGTCAAAGGTTTGTTTATGCTTCATTTCTACATGTTTACAAGTTCTCTCATATATAGCATATGCTAAGTTTCATTGGTCATCAGGAATCTTCTTTCTTTCGTTTTCCTTTGGTCATTAGATTTACTGTGCCGTTTCTTAATGGATCTGTTCTTACCTGTTTTGCAGATTGCAAATATTTATTTTGATCCTGGTTTACAATGTGGAGATCATTGTTATGTAGGATTGCCATTTCTATCTAAATGTAAGTAATTTCAGCTTCAATAAAAGTCTTAACGTTTTCTCTGTAAGCAGTGATTTTACATGAAGAGTTTAAAATTGCATTATTTCTTAAAGCGGAATCTAAAGCTCAGCACAGCATAGCAATGCAAGAAGATGCATGGGATTCTGACTGGGATTTGCATGAGAATTTATTCAAAGAATGGACAGAAATTAAAGAGAACTCAAGCCACAGGTAAGTATTTTATTGCTGTTACTTTCTCAGGCCTTAAATCACAATATTCTGTGTTATGTGTGCTTTTGCGAAATACAAGGTTCCTTAACATTGTGGTGCTGTTTGAGAGGGGGCCAAGAAGGAGTTACGTGGCCTTCTCTGCAAAGTTCTAATGAGAATATTTTAAAAGTTTAAAAAGCAGTAATAAACTCCTCAAGTCAAACGCCATACTCAGAGTTACCTTCCACTGGATTATGCTGCAGTTGTTGAAAAGATGTTAACAGCAAGGCAGTCTCTGCTCTGCAAAGATTTCCAAAATCAGATTATAATGTTTATACAGTGTCCCTGCTTAATCCATTTTGAAGTAGTGACCTCAATATCCCTCTAATATTTCATAAGGTTTCCTATTGCTACTATTCTGAGATTATTGCATTTCAGTGAATGATCAAATTGTCTGGTATTCTTCCTTGAGATTTGCTAAATAGAAGGTGATTAATGATTGCTATTTAATATTTAGGAAAAGTCGAACTCTGCAGGCTGCTGTATATCTTTTAAACATCTGCCTTCTCATGCATAAAGTGATTTAATCTCCAAGAGACAGAGTTGGCATTAACAATGAGGCCATGTGTCTTCTGTGATGAAGACTACCTTTCCAAAACTGTATGCCTATTTGTGGAGAAACAAAAAGACTGTACATAGCTAAATAGAGTAACTGAAGTGTACCTCCATTATTGCTTTTTTGTTCCAGTGCTGGTATATTAGCAACTCCTGAACGAATTTGATCTAAACAAAATCTGTTTAACTTCAAGAATGTCCTATTACCTACAGTAAGAGGACAGTGAAGGAAAATTCTGTTAAAAACTACTGAATAATTAGCAGTTCTAGCTAGAATAATATAAAATGATTTAATATTATTCAATATCATATATAATCTAAAATATGTAATGCTTCTAAAGAGAGTTAAAATTAACCAAGGTAGCATTCAGCAAAGGAGAAACTGCTCCTTCTGAATACAGAGAGGTTTCAGGCTTGGGCATTTCTTCTCTATGAAGAATGCTTCTTTAGGTTTGAAGTGTAGCGTTTCATCTGTTGTGCTGACTGGAGAACTCAATACTGTTAGTCCTGTTTCAGCACATGGTGGAGAGCTTGTAGGAGAGAACAGGAACCAAGTCTGTTACGGAGGTGGGTTCATAGCGAAGAACTTCATTCACTGATGGAAATAGTAGCTAGCACCAAGTGTGACTGGGTCAGCTTTGCTTTAGATTTGTTAGGCAGGAGTATAGGCACATATTATCACAGAATGGTTGGGTTGGAAGCAACCTTAGAGATCATCTAGTTTCAAGTCTCTGCCGTGAGCATCGGTGCACAGGCCCACCTCTCAAGCCTGTCAAGGTCCCACTGGATGGCATCCCTTCTCTCCACAGATATTCCATGTATCCATTACATTACACATGTGCAGGCAAAATGCATTTTCTGGATAGTGGGTGTCTGGATGTTGTGTTGGAAACAGACTGTAGCAGGACTGATACTTTACCTTTCTATTGTTTATACATTTGCAAATCTTCAAATATATTTTGGGTTTGTTTTTTTTTTTTACTGATCTGAATCTCAGTTATATTCTCAAAATTTGTTTCTGCAATAGTAGAAGCTAGGTGCTTTCTAATGAAAGATGAAATTCTTGTATCACTGTCCAGAGAGCAGTGATTTAAGAGAAATACAAATACCAAAAGATTTGTGATGCTGTGCGTAAGCACCATGTTTTTCTGCTCACTTTTATCTGTAAAAGGCCGTAACAGAATCTGGAATGAATGGATGGATGTTGACAACAATACTTCATAGAGAACATCTTAAGAATCTTGGGGTTGGACTCCTTTAGTATGTTTTGGTGGTTTCTGTTGTGCTGTTTAATAGCAGTAAATATGGGCAGAGCTCAATGGGTTTCTGAATTGCATGTAAATATAATGTGTTGTGCTATTCCTCAAACTGATGTCATTAGAGTGCTTTGAATTAAGCCCTTGGATTTTTCCACGCTTTTCCTATTTCCTTCCTGTAAAGTAAGTTCTATAACTGTTTCTCCAGACTGAATGCTGTATTTGAAGTAGACACAGACCTCCAGAAGGATGTCCGGCTGAAAATTACAGCAGAAATGGCCTGGCCATCCATACTTAGTTCACCACGCCATCTAATCTTCCCTCTTACCAACACAAACAGTTCATCAGTAAGTTATTTTGTTGATAGTATCATTTTGTAGGCGCTGCATTTTAATAAGTATTTCTAATTACATTCATCCTAATGTAAACTTAAAAAATTGTGTTTCTGAATAGGAAGAAGAAATTTTTCTAGAGAATCCAGCTGATGTTCCTGTGCATGTTCAGTTCCTTCCTATAGCTCTGTATTCTAACCCATCCACTTTTGTTGATAAGATGTTGCAACGGTAAGTATTGTTTGAGAGTATTTTGGGCATTCTCACTCTGCAGCAAAATTCATTTTTCAAAAATTGCATGCAGTATTTGGCAGCTGTGTTGGCAGTTACAGTGTTGGCCACTTGTAGAATTGAATCATGAGGCCAGTTGAGAACTGAATCTAGGCTGATTGCCATTGAACACACATCTGTATTTTTTGCTGAGCTAAAATTATGTTTAATTTCTTCCTTAACTGGATGGATGGGGGAGGGATGTAAAAAAAAAAATCAAATGATCCCTTCAGCTGCATGTTGTTTGAGTCCTGCCAGAGATAGGTAAAATCCATAAATGCAAGTATGTCATTATTTTCCCTGACCCAGAGGAAAAACAAATGTATGTCTGTTTCAGGTTTAATTTAAGTAAGCCAGCTAATTTCAATCTGAGGACTCTAGAGTTCCAGGTCTTCAGAAACTGTGTAAGTATTTCAATATGTTCTTTATACTTTTAAATTTAGACATATTAATGTTTTAATAAAAGTTCAGTTGTATGTGTCTTCAGATATGAAAAATGTGATGCTTTTGTTGGATGCTTTCAGGAAATTGGGAAAAGCAGTATTTCCTCAGATGTAACAGTTAAAATGTTACTTCTTCTGTATGCTTATGCTATAATACAGTTGTGGAAGTTACAGGAAAACTGCGTTTAATTATTCTTTTACTGATACAAGGTTATTTTCTTCAGTGTAGTGGTTGCTAGTTCTAAAATTAGCAGAGTATTGAGTTTTCCATTGCTTCCTTCTTCAGGTGATTCAGGGTTTGTGGACAACTTTAAGTGCATACTCTCATACAGAGCATGCCACATCCTGAACACTTTCTCACACAATATACATGCCTTTTCCCCTCTATTTGCACTTTGGTTTAGATTAACAGTTCGATGCTTATGGTGTCTAAAGGCAAACTTAGCAAACTACATTTCTTTCAGTAGTTCTTCTGCTTTAAGTTTGGTTTTTCCCCCTTATATATTCCCGAAAGATTTTAACAATGGAAAATTTTGCAGATAGAAAATGTTACATAATGGCTTAATGCTAATTCAGTGTTTAAATGCACACTTAAGAACTTCTGAACTTTCTCTTTTACTAGAACTTTATGAATCCACATGGGTGTAGTTTAGCTCAATTCTGTCTTCTTATGTTCTGCTTCTTAATAAATAGATAGTTTACTAGTAAGTAGGAAAATATACGTGCTATCAGACTTTCTGGTTAAAAAAGCCCATTATGTCATTGGGTAGTACACTTGTTTATGACAAGACCAATTTTCTAACTAAAATAATATCATTTCTATCAAATATATGTAAAAAATTCCTATTTCTAAAAGTGTCACTTTGTTTTCCATACTCTTTTAAGGTACAGCCACTACAGAGCACTGCAGGACTTACAAAGGGAATGGCTCGTCATTCAGTTTTAAGCCTAATACTAAAACCTGGTGAGAGAAAGTCTGTCAAAGTGAAGTTCACTCCAGTTCTTAATAAAACTGTTTCATCATTAATTGTTATCAGGTATGGTAGATATTTCAAAAATGAGTGGGTTTTCTGATGTCTTTCACTTATATATAGTATCATACTCATGATTAGCTGTTAATAAGAAACTGTTGCTTTTACAATAATAGGTACAGAATCATATGTGTTTGGATAAAGATTAAATGTGATTGTGGCATGTTTTATAGTAATTAAACTGTATTCAGTACCTATTTTCTAATATAAATATATAATCAACATCACAGAATCTTAGAATAGTCTGGGTTGGAAGGGACCTTCAAAGGCCGTCTAATGCAACCCCCCTGCAATGATCAGGGACATCTTCAACTAGATCAGGTTGCTCAGAGCCCTTGAATATTTCCAGGAATGGGGCATCTACCACTGCTCTGGGCAACCTGTGCCAGTGTCTCACCACTCTCATTGTAGGTTTCTTCCTTGTATCTAATCTTAGTCTGCCCTCTTTCAGTTTAAAACCGTTACCTCTTGTCCTGTCACAGCAGCTCCTACTAAAAAGTCTATCCCCATCTTTTTTATAACACCCCATTAAATACTGAAAGGCCTCAATGAGGTCTCCCTGGAGCCTTCTCTTCTCTGGACTGAACAACCCCAACAGTCTTAGCTTGCCTTCATAGAAGAGGTGCTCCAGCTCTCTGATCTGGACCCAACTGAGCAGGTCCACGTCTCTCTTGTGTTTGGGGTCCCCAGAGCTGAATGTAGTACTGCAGGGGGGGTCTCATGAGAGCTGAGGAGATGGACAGGATCACCTCCCTTGACCTGCTGGTCACACTGCTTTTGATGCAGCCCCGGAGGCAGCTGGCCTTCTGAGCTGCAAGTGAACACTGCCAGCTCCTGTCCAGTTTTTCATCCACCATTGGAGACTTGAATTCTTAAATACATTCAGTGCTGTCTTTAAAGTAGGGACTGTAATTACAGATGCCATTTGCAAGATCAAGCTGCAGTGCAAGTTCAATCTTTCTAGTAAAGAGCTCTGTTTGAGTAACTATTTCACTTTTGTATCAGGTGGGATGCATTAATATGATGTTGAAATATGAAGTTTAGTACTTCATTGGGTTTTTTATTTGTATGCTATGTTGTGATTTCTTAGGGTTTTGTCTTGCAAGCACTATGCAAACACTATTTACTTCCATATTGTGGGGAATTAAGTGTGGAACTGCTTATACAGCTGTCCTCTAGGTTTGGGATGTAACTTCATAGTCTGTGGAGAAGCTTGCAGGAGCAATAGACTGCGTAGTCCTTTTATGAATGTTTCCCCTTTTTCTTTGTACACAGAAATAATTTGACTGTAATAGATGCCATAATGGTACAAGGACAAGGAACGACTGAGAGCTTGAAGGTTGCAGGCAAACCTCCTGGTCCAGGAAGTTCTTTACGCTTTAAAATCACAGAAGCATTATTAAAAGACTGTTCAGAGAGTGAGTATTTCTTGAGCTGCTATGCTGAACAGAAAAGAAATTGCATTCTACATGTACAACTTGAAATGTGTGGAAATACATTTCCTTTTCTAGTGCCCCAGAAGTTTAAATCATTTGAATACATTAAAATTGGTTGTTTATTTAGGCAGAAAAAGAAATATTTTAGCTTTTTTGTTTTAATTTGAAAGTTAGGAAACAGGAAACAAAACCCCTTCATCCACTAAAATTCAAGTAGAGGAGGTAAAGATCCTAGTGTATTTAATAGGATTATTTCCAATTCCTAAATTTAAGACAAATTGAATCACAGATGGAACTTTCTGCATATTCTTTTTTTCCCCTCACACCTTCAGAATCTTTATGCACGTGGCCAATGGGGAAAAAGATAGGGGATGTTCCTCAATGAAAATTCAATCCCAACAAGAATCTACTCTGAGGTTAGGAGTTTTCTGCTCAGTGGCCCCTGGTTTGCTTCTGAGAGGACAGCTAAGAGTACCTGTATTACCAAAGGAACTGGTAGAAGAGGCTTACTTGTATCTGGTATGGAGATGTTTCTCCTTTGCTGCTTTGCAGTTTTCCAGGCATACATGTTAATTATTATTTGAGATTGTTCTGCTGGTTTTTTTAGGGATCAATAAGAAAACTTCAAGTAAAGTTTAGTCATTACCTCTTACATGTTGTGGTTCAGGGATGTGTTTGCTAATAAGATATGTGTAACTGTCATGGTTTAACCCTGGCTGGCAACTAAGTACCA